GTCAAAAGCGTCTTCACGTTGACAAATCAGTCTGCTAGCCATAGCTCAGCTAAAAAGCTGAGAACCTATGCTTGATAGAGCAGGCGGAACAGCACACAGGCATTAATAAACGAATCTGCTAGGTCCGTTTTCAGGACGTAAACATACCTGAACCACGGATCGTGAAAACAAAACATTTCATACTGGCCTATCCATTGATGACATATTTTAACAAGCGAACACATGTGAATGTGCGATCTGCAGAAGCCAACAGAGAGGGAAAGTTATTCGCTGTGGTACGAGCATTATTTACTTTATTCGCCGAAGTCATGCCGAGCCGAATATCGGAAAACAACTCATGGAGTTCGAGGAAGCATAGACGGCGCAGCGTTTAAAGAACGCAACGGCTGGACAACCACGCACCAAATAAAACTGTCCCCTCCCATATTATTTGCAGACCCTTGTAATTGAGGCGATAATTGCTACATTGCCCGTATCTGCATAGTTAATGGTGGCACGGTTTTCAATAGCCTTTGTGATTAATGTGATAATTACTCGAAAAGCTGACTCTTAAGCATTGTCACCGGAAGCAGAATGTAGTAGCTCGACTGAGCCTGATCAAGGCAGCCCTACTGCTGAAAAGGGAACGGAGAGAGGTCTTCGTCTGCGCTGGGCTTTAAAAACTCATCAACTCTGACCCTTCGGGGGGACAACAAACTAAGAATTAACGTTAATATTAATTCTTGTTGACGGTGCGTGTTTGGCCACCCGTATCTGCAGAAGTCTTCACTTTTCAGCGATTTAGTTGCTTGGTTTGCAACTACAGCCGATGTGGCGAACGACTACGCATGTTTTTCTGTGATAATCAGTCTTTATTGACTGGTTCGAAAGACTGAGTTTAGCCTGGAATACAACTCTACCTTCCGGTTGCATAAGAAGCTAGCTGATCGATACCACGAACTGGTTTCCACAAGTGGTGCTTTGCGTGTTTTGTTCACTCATTTAATTTTTTCGGACGTCAAAGAATAAACTCGAACCGATAGTCATTCCTTTAGAATACCCCTCAGTGTTTTGCAGTCCTTTAAGGTAAGTTTTAAAATGTTAGTAAAAAAACCCTCAATTAATCCGTTCTTGGCAGAGTTGACGGTCGCTATTGGCAATAAGTAGTCATCAATT